ACACACACGCACACAGACACGCACACACGCACACAGAGAGAGAGAGAGAGAGAGAGAGAGAGAGAGAGAGAGAGAGAGAGAGAGGGAATGTTCTGCCGAAAGGCTTCTCGGCTTCTACGAGAGCATCACAGAGTTGATGCCGATCAACTTGTGCCGTACGATGAAGATCTGACCAATCAAGTGGTTGAGGAGACGAGTGAGCATTTCCGCCAGATCCTCAACACTCTCACCCGTCTTCAAGGGGAGAACGTGGACTGGAAAGACGCTGGCCCCGAGGACGCCACGGGTGTCCTGATTCATCATCAGAGCTTGCTTCGTAACAAGCGCTGTCTGATGGCCTACGTGTATGATCGGATGGCTAGGATCAAGGAGCTGAGGTGGCAGCTCGGGGCCGTGCTCCCGGCCGAAGTTCAACGCCATCTCTGCCAGTCGGAAAAAACGTTTTTCAAAGATTATGACCGTCTCTTAGGCACGTACATGAGCGCCGTTGATGTAGATCTGACGGTGGATGTGGTCCCCCCCAAAGATCCCTTCATCGAAGTGCGAGTCCTAGAAAATGCCGGGTCGATGCTTCTTGAAGACAAGATTGCGCATTTAGAGCCAAATTCAGTGCACCTAATCAAGCGCGAAGAGGCCGAGCCGCTGATTATGCAAGGAGTGCTCGAACATATCGTGAGATGAGAAAAAAAAAAAAAAAAAAGAAGCACAAAAAGAAATAATTACTGTAATGGGAGATAAAGAGCGGGAAAATGGAGGTAAAAAGGGAAAAGGAGTGGGGGGGGGAAATTGGGGAAAAAGGTGGCGGCGAGATTATTTGCAGAAAAAAAGAAGGATGGTTTTGAATAATATATAAATGGAATGAAAAACAAGGAAAGAAAAGCGGAAAGGAACGAAACGCGGGAAATCCACGTCAGCAGCATTTGGCGCTGGAAACGCGGGAAAGCCACGTCAGCAGCATTCTTGAGATTTCATCCAATAAAAGAAGTTCGAACAGTCATCGTCGATTTTGTCACCGATTTTTTTTTTTTTTTTGTTTTTTTTTTTTTTTTA